TACATCATAGAATTATTCAAAGAAAAGGAATTACCATTTACTGATTACACTGTTTGGTTGATGAATATAGTTACGTAAATCGGATTGCCTGTATTTTTAGAGGCTTGCTCCTTTGATGGTATTTTGGTGCAGCTCCTAAATAGCCTTGGACTCAACATTTCGGTCAATAACAACCATCTGGTCGCCGCATTTTCCCARGTGATGGAAGGTAAGAGCTAGAATTCAATTAATGATCCATATTTGACGACATAGGTGTATACATCGCTCCCTATACAAAAGATTCCTAGATCGTCTGCATTACCCCAATTTTCTTATACTGATTTTGACTGAAGAACCAGATTAAATCAAACAATATGTGTACAATATCTTTGAAACAATGCCATCAACGTGTATAGTATTGTTGATGAAACGAGAATGGATAAAAGCTGAAGGTTGTAGGTCTGAAACACAACCTAAAATATTCAGATCATTACCCTTGGAGACTGGATCGCTGGGTGATCAAAACGGACCACATCTTCCATTCCCCGAGGTATATTGACTCTTATAAATACACATATTACTTGAGTTTGAATAAATATCTAGGGATAATTTACTGCAAATTCTGTGGTACTAAACAAAGAGCGTTTTGCTCATGCTCCTTGTCTTATAGTTTGAATAAACTGTCTTATAGTTCATTGATCCGGATGAAATGTCGGCAAACATAATTTTCTTTTTCCTAGAAACAGATGTTTGTGTAAATCCCGCCTCGAAACTCATTCAAATGCGTTCTAAGGGGACAACAAAGTGAAGGGAATAATGCAAAAACCCTATCGTCGATGATAAAGTTGGAAATTGCAATCTTCTATATTGCCTTTTTTGATATTTTTTAGCCATGAATAGCGTGGGTTCAAAACCAAATGCTTCAGACCTCAGCGACTATTTCATCATTAGGAAAATCAGCAGATTACTTCGCGCCAACGAGAATTCGTCCCGTAAATCAAAGAATGCTAGAACCTTTCTGGGGATACTCCTTGCTCGACAGAAAACATGTGATTATGCCGAAATCTCTAAAGAACTTAAAGAAGAAATTGGTAATGAGGGATTTAAGGTAACCGTTGCTGGTATGGTTAGATTTATGACAGCGTAAGCTACAAAACGATTGATGATATAGAAATAAAGAAAAATTATAGTACTAAAAGGACGATTGTATACTTTTTGCGCTTATTGTGACCAATGAAATAATCCTTACAAAATGCAATTTTCTTCACATAGAAGATACGGCTACTTCTTGATGAGTTTGAGTAATATTTTAACACACACATGCTAAACTACCTTTACGAACATTGGGCGCCATCGGACAGTGTTTGCCTTATTTCACAGCGCACCTACTGGGAATTTTTAAATCAAATTAAAATTTGCTAATTACATATCCACTTATTAACACACATAATAGCTAGTGTGCTGAAAAATCGTTTATCTTGCTCGTAAGCCATCAATAATCTGAGGAAGATTGAGAATCAAGTAAAAGATAATCAAAATTGTGAAAATAACTCGCTATTAAATATAATACTGATTTCTTATCGATAGAGGCTGCTTAATGTGGATGGTAAAGTTACTTTAACCTTTGTAATCGACATCAGTGGGAGCATGAAGTTAGTCATCCCTAAAGTAAAACAGATTGCTTTAAGCATTGCAGAATACAAATCAATCAAACATGTTGACTATGTCTTGTCAACTTTTTCCGATGGTACGTACTTTTCTTCATCTTAAATATTCATACATGTGGCTATTATTTGCGCATGCGTTATMGGTTGGCTTACTTGCTTGGCTCGTGTGTATCTTGAGAATAAAATTACTCAAAGAAAAATGGGATCTTCACTTTCATTATCCTGGGGCAATTTGATACCTAATGCCCTTCTGCGATTTCATTATACTATGTTGTTTGCCATCTTTTTTCTATATTCTGTTTATTATTAGATTCCAAAGGAACCAAGCTTCTTGGCAATGTTCAAAACTTTGATAATCTCGAGAATTTCATAGAAGCACTTGACGATATGCTATCAGTTCGTGATTATTTTAAAGAGAAGACTGGCGACTGTCCTGAGCCAGCGTACGCCGGCATCATAAAAGCAATTACAGTTGGCAGTCCACAACGTGGTTCACCTATGTACGTGTTCACGGACGCACCGCCGAAGCCATTTGGAGAGTTCACAGAGGATAACGCGATATATCACGCTCAGAAAAATAAAATACCCATCACTTTTTTCGTATCGAACTCATACTGTTCTCGACGAGCGAGGCATTATTACAGGAACATCACAGAGGCAACTGGAGGATTGGCTTTTGGATTTAGAATACGTTGGTCGACAAGAAAACTCAAGCGGATGATTAAAGGCAGTCTTGATGGCACGTCTATTATTGCCAGTAAAAGGTCAAAGAGAAGGCAAAAATCCAAACGAGGAATTAGAATCGATGCCAAAAGCTTTTATATTGATGATATCGCTCACGAGGGAACCATTGAAGTTGAGGCTAAAGGCACGATGATTCATCTTTTTAATCCCATTGGAAGGCAAATACTTCCTGAAAGAAAAAGCCGCAAAAGGCTATCTTGGACCATTCTCAGACCACTGAGAGGAAAATGGACATTTATTTCTACAGCCAGAAGTTTAAAATTTGGGGTAAAACAGTCAGTTGTTTTTAATACTAACATTACTGGATTCACTTRGCTACTTGAATCTGAAATGCAAAAACATAACGCCGAAAGTTTGACATAATTATCATATTCATGGCCAGATCGCTGTATCCTTTTTTTGTTAACTGCCCTTGCATTGGATTTTCGTCATTAGTACTATTAAATAAGGGGAAGTTGCGGGGGGAACCTAATGATGGAATTATTCGTTCTCTAATGACGTCTTTGATCATATGATTGCTCTCAGCCACTATTATATAAAGGTTGAAATAAGGCAGCCAATTGAATTAAAGTTACCCTACCTAGTTGGAGGAACTTTGAAAGAGTGTTTACTCAACTCAACAATACGAGTAGCATTTAATTAACTACTGGAAAGAATATCAAAGTTACTCCAACAGGCCGGGATTCAAAATAGCTCTTAGGATAGGAGTCAAAATTACTCCCTCAGGTGCAGTTGAAATCGGTGAAATCCACTCGAAAAAAGGAGTTATCTGGTAACCTTTTTTACTCCTCTTTTAACGTTATATTACTATCAACTGCTTGAAAACAACAGATTATCCATGTAACCTATTGCTATTGCAGAGGATTAGAAAGACTAATTAGAACGGAATTTTATAACTGATTGCATGGGTGGGGACCGATTGAACATACAGTAGAAACCCGCATATAATAAGAACCTGTTAGCCTCAATTATGGATTTTATATCCCCTATATCAAATAACCTATTTAGCCTAAAAYTGAAAACAGCTTCTTAACTTTTAAAATGATGTTAGTCATAATACAGCTGCAGAGCAAGATTCSAMTTTGAAGAAAAAGCAGATTATCATTACTGTAAAATGAGTTATTTGTTGTGAATGTTTGGTGKGGATGGGGATGGGGTCAGGAAAAATGAAATAGCTAAATAGCCATCTTGTTTTGAAGCTAAGTTTTATTTGCTTTACTCTAGAATTAAAAACCTATTTTAAGAACCTAAGTAGACGAAAATTAACTACCATTTATATAAGAACCAGCTGTTTAGGCTACTTACAAAAAAGTTGTTTCTTATATGCGGGCTTCTTCTGTAACTCAACTGTGCTGTTTCTATGTACAGGTTAAGTCACAATCGCAGTTAGACATTACCTTGGATTGGAAATTCATGAGGAAAGGATCTATTATAGATCATCCAATCATAGGTACGTCATGTAATGTAATTCCATTTTTCACTCTACCAATAACAATGGAATACTCATCAAG